ATTTGGGCCTTGTCGGGTGTCTGAAGTAAATCCTTCACGTCCGACTCGTTAAAGAAAACATCTTTGTCCAGTATGAGGTGAGTAATCGTTGTGCTGATGTCCAGAAGCTCTTTTCGGTCATAAGAGACGGTGGCAAAATAATTTACAAATAACGCAAAAAACACACACAATAGCACAATTGGTTAGGAGCCCGTAAAACGGCAGCCATCTCCTCCGGCGCCGTTATCTTCAGAGCCATGTATTTAGTTAATATATGGCTCTGCATGTAATTACTGAATTATGAATTCTTATAGATATATTAGATATGGCTGTACATATGATTTGTGTGTATTTCTGGTACTTCACTATTTTTAAAGGTTTAACAGGAACTGTAGGAGGAAGAGAAACGTTATGGGGGATGTTTATAACAGAGATGCAGTACCTTAGCTACATCACAACTCCCCTGTCCTCATATCATTGTGTAGCCTACCAGGGACAGTGAAGCCATCACGCTAAACCGTAATGACAGGCACAATAGGTACGTTTGTTTTGGTTAATAATATAGTCAGCCAAATTCTTCAAACTTGATTCTAGATTTAAACCCAAACCAAGATATAGAGCAAAACCAATATACAGTTTTTACATTTTAATTGTTTCAGTTTTCATGACTTCTTACTTTTTCTCTTTTTTTATGCCTTTTTATATTTCTGTAATTGTAATTGTAGGTGTGTTGCTAAATCATCTAAATAATTTGAATTGCTGCTTTAAAAACAGTGTATTGTGAATGAAGATGTGATGTAACTAATTTAATCTGCAAAATTCACTTTTCAAGATTCCAGCCTTTCCATAAACGATTATGAAACTTACAGCACCAATGACGAATATGATGAGAATTACACAGACGAGGTCTGTAACAAGGCCGCCGTTGTCAAGTTTGGTTCCATCGCCACCCCTGCCTTCTTCTCTGTGGTGACCATCCTGAGTCTAGCGGGCAACATCCTGGTCCTCGTCATCCTGGCCAAGTACGAGAACCTCAAGTCTCTCACCAACATCTTCATCCTCAACTTGGCCCTATCTGATCTGGTTTTCACCTTCGGCCTGCCCTTCTGGGCCGCCTACCACATCTGGGGCTGGACCTTTGGCTGGATCCTCTGCAAGACTGTCACCTTTGTCTTCTACGCTGGCTTCTACAGCAGCGTTTTGTTCCTGGCCATCATGACTATCCACCGCTACCTGGCCGTGGTGCATCCTCTGTCCGACCATGGTTCCCAGAGGGGCTGCTACGGGGTCACAGTCTCTCTCGTCATCTGGGTTGTTAGTTTTGGGGCGGCCGTCCCTTCTTTGATTTTCAGCTCAGTCCAAGAGAACCCCCATGAAGGAGACAACCATTTTTACTGTGAATACTGGGATCCGCTGTGGAAGAAAGTGGGCAGCTACCAACAGAACGTCTTCTTCTTGGCTGCTTTTGTAGTGATGGGGTTCTGCTACGTGAGGATATTAGGGACAATTTCCAAGTCAAGGTCACACATGAGGAATCGAACCGTGAAGCTGATCTTCAGTATAGTGGCAGTATTTTTCCTCGGCTGGGCACCTTACAATGTGGTGATATTTCTAAGGTTGTTGCATGACGACTCCATAGCACCTTTCAATACTTGTGAGGTCAGCACGAGGCTTGACTATGGGTTCTATGTGTGTCGACTGATTGCTTTCTCCCACTGCTGTCTCAACCCTGTCTTCTACGCCTTTGTTGGGATTAAGTTCAGAAATCACTTGAAGGTGATTCTGCTGAAATTTCGCCATCGCCAAAGCACCATGGATTCACAACAGATTAGATCAGCTAACATTTACTCCATGGGATCTATGTACTAGCGCAGGGGTCTTCAACCTTTTCATGCCTAGGAACCAGGCAAACCGGCGACGCAGGGACCCATCATATGTTAGCAAAACAAATATGTAACATCTTGTCATATCATCAGGTTAATGTACGGGCGCAACTTTGGTTTTAGAAGTGGGGGGGGGACATAACCCCCCCCCAAAAAAACAAAAAACAAAAAAACATTGTAAAGTGGTTATCCCACTGGCTATAAGGTGAATGCACCTATTTGTAAGTCGCTCTGGATAAGAGCGTCTGCTAAATGACGTAAATGTAAATAACCTGGTGGAGGGTCTGGGGGCCTCCAACATAATTTTTTGGGCATCTGAAGCTAATTTTGTGCATTTCTACACAATCTAATATGACTGTTTTGGGGTCGTTTTGGGGTCACTTTTATTGTAAATAAGAATAGAATATGTTCAGAGCCTAAAATGAACACCCGCCACCTGCCAAATGCGGGTAGATTGCGCACAGACATAAAGGTTGGTCTAATTTACTTTGAATGTGGATGCTACCATGATTATGGATAATCCTGAATGAATTGTGAATAATGATGAGTGAGAAAGTTATAGACGCACAAATATCATACCCCCCAAAAAATGCTTCCCTCCCCTCTTATTGTTATTGTAATGGTGAGAGGTTAGCATGTCTAGTGGTATGTTATTTGTGCATCTGTAACTTTCTCACTCGTCATTATTCACGATTCATTCAGGATTATCCATAATCATGGTAGCATCCACATTAATGTAGAAGTGCTTAGAAACATATTATATTCTTATTTTCAATAAAAGTGACTCCAAAATGACACAATATGTTATTTACCATTCATTTCTATTGCGCACAAAATAATCTGAAACACAACCAAAACAAACAGCAAATGCATCCAACAAGCTTGATGTAGTCATTTCATGCTATGACTGTGGGACCAAATACTTAACTTTTTACTACTTTAATACACATACAAGTGAATTTCTCCCAATACTTTTGCCCCCTAAAATGGAGGGACTATGTACAAAAAGTGCTGTCATTTCTAAACGGTTCCCCCGATATGGATGAAAATACCTTCAAATGAAAGCCGACATAGTCATTGTTAGATTTTAAGTATAAAACGCTAGATTTTAAGTAAAAAACGCTTCACTGTCCCAATAATTACGGAGTGCACTGTAATTTATATTATAGGCCTAATAGTACTGTAGAGCTCTTTTTACTTGCACACAATATAGCTGGACTGCCCCGTCCTGCCCCTAGGCCCTGCAGCGCTCCAACCCAACACATCCCACTCAGCTTCAGGATCTTAGTGAAACATTCATGATTGGTTTCAGGTGTGTTAGGCCAAGGCCAGAGTGACAACCAACAGTACAGCAGATCCCCAGTAATTTACTTCTGTTGGAACGGGACAAAACAAAGGCTACAAAAAATGTCAATACACACAACAGCTGTTAGACACTGCCATCTGACAGATTGCTAGAGGCTGTAGCTGAACTGGCTGTGGTAGCTACTAATTAGCTAGCTAGCTAGTTAATTCACTTCAGACAGAACATCAATCGAGAGGGGATGAAACTCTACCTAACATTACATGTCAGTTACACTACTAGTTCAGCACTGAGAATAAATAGTTTTTTTTCTCTTAAGTCAAAGAGCAGTTACATTGCCAGCTACATCAGTCAAATAAAGAGTAGATAGTTTCTGCTCTGCATCCTTTTACAACTCATTGAAAGACTGCAACGCGTACAGACTGAACTATGCTCAACTCTCCTGTGCTGGTCCAGCCAGCCTTCCAGAAGCTTTGCCTTCACATAGCCTGTCAGCCCGCTGTTTCGTGCCTGCACGGTCTTAAATCCAGTTGGTTAAACACTCCAAACAGCCTACCTGAACGCACACTGTTGCGCGTTTTGTACCACATTCCAATGATAAAACTGGGGGGGACAAAAATGCAAATTCAGAATGTAGGGGGGACATGTCGTCGCCCCCGTCTGTCGTCCACCCCCACCAGCCCCCGTCCGTCCGTCCGTCCGTCCGTCCGTCCCCAGTGAAAGTTGCGTCCCTGAGTTTCATTCATCATCAGTAAGCCCATGTCTTGTTTTGAATTGTCAAATGACAGACTAAGCAAGGAATTAATAGTTTTGGGCGGCAGGTAGCTTAGTGGGTATGAGCGTTGTGCCAGTAACCGAAAGATGGCTGGTTCTAATCCCCGAGCCGACTAGGTGAAAAATCTGTCGATGTACCCTTAAGCAAGGCACTTAACCCTAATTGCTCCTGTAAGTCGCTCTGGGTAAGAGCGTCTGCTAAATGATGTAAATGTAAATGTAATGTAAATGTACAGTGAGGTGTGCTATATTTGGGTTATAGATTGTGATCATGTGCAAATATAATGACAATCCATGATTGAATGAATGTGATTATTTTTATTGTTAATTTATGAAGTGGAGAGACTGCTTTTCATTCATGTGTTCATTTGAAATATACAGTATTGCAGAAGATTTGAAATAAGTATGATTAAGATAAGTAGGCTTAAGATAAAAATGACAACTTGCCTTGACCTTGCCTTGATTGACCTTTGACCATTGAACTATATTCTGAACTCTGATTATATATCGTTGAAGTGCTACTTTGGCTTTACCTGGTACCTTACGGGAGCAGAGTATGTTCAAGAGAAAGAAAATGCTGTGTTTTGTTTTTCAGGGAAGTAAATAAGTAAAGGAAACACATTTTGTAAACAATGTCTTCCACAAATCTAATTTCCAGTAAAAATAAATAAATAAAGAATTTGTATTTGAATTTGCCTGCACTCTTACAATATAAAAATCATGATATATCAGCTGTATGCTGGAATTCTCTCCACCCCCTACTACCATAAACCTATTTCCTCAGTTTGAGTACAAAATATTTTAGACAGGTTTGACAAACAATGTAAATCAACTTCATCAACCAGTTCATGCAGGGCCTAGTCCTACACAAAGCACAAGGAATTAATATAAATCGTATTTACTTGATTCCTCACATCCTCGTCTCCTTCTCAAGGCACATTGGAGCAAAAGATCTGAGGTTCCCCCCCTCGGATCTTCTCCTCCAATGTATTTTGAGAAGGAGGCAAGGAGAGAGAACACAAGGAATCAACAAAATACAATAGAGAGTCACCCAAGGTGTCTTATCGAGGCAGGGCACAGATTTTGAAGGGCTTTGGTCCACTGATGATGCCCACCTGGCCCTCCAGGCCAAGCTCCCAGCCCTGTGGAGGTGTGAAGGTGAACCTCTGGAGCAGACAGGTGAAGAACAGAAACAGCTCCATCCTGGCCAGCTGCTCCCCTGGACACATCCTCTTACCTGAGAGAGAGGAGAGCACACACACACACACACACACACACACACACACACACACACACACACACACACACACACACACACACACACACACACACACACACACACACACACACACACACACACACACACACACACACACACACACACACACATCTTTAACATGAGGATGGATGGAGTGTGTGTGTGTGTGTGTGTGTGTGTGTGTGTGTGTGTGTGTGTGTGTGTGTGTGTGTGTGTGTGTTCTCCACCATTCCACCCTCTACGTGTCTTGGCAGACTCTATGGAAAATGAAAACCATAATAGTTCTGTCTAATGTCTCCTCAAGAATCTGCAGTAGCACATTCCATTTTGAACAACCGTTTCTCTGGTAGGGCGGATTGAAGCAAGATAGGATAGTGATACATGTTTGGGAGACAAATTAAGGGTTTTTGTTATGGATTAACAGTATACATAAACAATTTACATTTTAAGTGCATTTTAATAATACATTACCTATAGAAAATGGGATAAAATTGTCTTTTTTGACAAATCTTCCATTTTTATCCAGGAAATGTCCAGGATTGAACTGATCAGGGGTTGCATACTCATTTCTGTCCTGTAGGATTGGTTTTAACATGGGAAGCACCATTGTTCCCTGTGCAAAACAGAAGAGTCCATTTGTCAAATGGCATTGCCAGTAAAACCTTCAGTGTGACGTCAACATGCACCATTGCACCAGCACGCATCAACTCAAACATTCAGTTGATCATGTACTCCAGCAGTAGAATCACAACATCTCCACCACCATCCATCGACCCTACACCCACCTTGGGCACTAGATACCCCGCCACGGTGGTGTCCTTACTGGCCACTCTGGGAGGCGTGAAGGGGACGATGTTCCCAAACCTCTGGATCTCATGAATCACAGCGTAGGTATACGGCATTTCGGCTCGGTCGTCCATTGAGGGCTGGCGAGCCGAACCTATGACCTCATCGATCTCCACCTGCACCTTCTCTACGGAGGAAGTCAGAATGAGGAAGTTAATGATTGTCTAGAGCAGATGGCTGCATAGCGCATGCAGTATAATTGATTAATAAAGCCATAAAACAAGTCATTCTTCTGGTAAGCACTAGGCTATTATAACAGAGTACTGTTAGGGCCTGTTTCCTCTTAGGGCCTGTTTCCTCTTAGGGCCTGTTTCCTCTTAGGGCCTGTTTCCTCTTAGGGCCTGTTTCCTCTTAGGGCCTGTTTACTCTTAGGGCCTGTTTACTCTTAGGGCCTGTTTACTCTTAGGGCCTGTTTCCTCTTAGGGCCTGTTTCCTCTTAGGGCCTGTTTACTCTTAAGGCCTGTTTCCTCTTAGGGCCTGTTTCCTCTTAGGGCCTGTTTCCTCTTAGGGCCTGTTTACTCTTAGGGCCTGTTTCCTCTTAGGGCCTGTTTCCTCTTAGGGCCTGTTTCCTCTTAGGGCCTGTTTACTCTTAGGGCCTGTTTCCTCTTAGGGCCTGTTTCCTCTTAGGGCCTGTTTCCTCTTAGGGCCTGTTTACTCTTAGGGCCTGTTTCCTCTTAGGGCCTGTTTACTCTTAGGGCCGGTTTCCTCTTAGGGCCACAGAGGGTTGTCATCAGTGCCAGAATACATTCATTCAGAGTGCGCAGCTGAACACTGTATGCTGGAAACACTCGGTTTGCAATTTTTGACTAAAACATAACCAATATTAGTTAAATATAAATACCGAACTTGTTTTTGCATGGATTGCGCTATCGTAGTCCATGTGGGTTTTAATGACATTATGAAGAGCATCTCTGAACAGTTGAAACTGGATTTTAAAGAGCTGATTGACTCTCTGCTATCTGGCCCTGTGCCCTCTCTGAATCGTGGCATTGAACGCTTTAGCAGGATTATATTCTCTTCACAACTGGCTATGTGATTATTGCAGTTTAATGGGTGTAACTTTTGTTGACAATTTTGATACCTTTTGGAAACAAAACACGTTTTATAAGGAGGATGGGATCCACCCAAAATATGTGGGTTCCTGGATCCTTTCACAGCATTATAAGGCTGCGTTGAGACAATGACTTATCAATGACCCAAGCCCAGCTCAGTTAATCCCTACCATTGTGAAGCGGAGTTGTCATTATGCTTCAGCAAATATACATTATACCAGTGATGTTGGTAAACACAATGTAAGTAACCTAATTTATGTCCCTCTAACTGCCCTGAATGCCTCTGCTGATCCTATAGCTATTGTATGCAGTAATCATGTGCCTAGGAACCAGATTGACAGTGCATTCGGAAAGTATTCAGTCGTCTTGACGTTTTCTACATTTTGTTACATTACAGACTTATTCTAAATAGATTAAATTGCTTTTTTTTCTCTCACAATACCCCATAATGACAAAGGAAAATCAGGATTGTAGAAATTTCTGCTAATTTATAAAAGATAAATAACTGAAATATCACATTTAAGTTTTCAGACCCTTTACTCAGTACTTTGTTGAAGCACCTTTGGCAGCAATATACAGCCTCGAGTCTTCTTGGGTATGACACTACAAGCACGGCACACCTGTATTTGGGGAGTTTCTCCCATTCTTCTCTGCATGATCCTCTTAGGCTCTGTGAGGTTGGATGGGGAGCGTTGCTGCACAGTAATTTTCAGGTCTCTCCAGAGATGTTCGATCAGGTTCAATTCCAGGCTCTGGCTGGGCCACTCAAGGATATTCAGAAACTTGTCCCGAAGCCACTCCTGCATTGTCTTGGCTGTGTGCTTAGGGTTGTTGTCCTGTTGGAAGGTGAACCTTCGCCTCAGTCTGTGGCCCTGAGCGCTCTGGGGCAGGTTTTCATCAAGGATCTATCTGTACTTGCTCTGTTCATTGTTGCCTTGATCCTGACTAGTCTCCCAGTCCCTGCTGCTGAAAAACACCCCCACATCATGATGCTGCCACCACCATGCTTTACCCTAGGGATGGTGCCAGGTTTCCTCCAGACGTGACGCTTGGCATTCAGGCCAAAGAGTTCAATTTTGGTTTCATCAGACCAGAGAATGTTGTTTCGCATGGTCTGAGAGTCTTAGGTGCCTTTTGGCAAACTCCAAGCAAGCAGGCTGTCATGTAACTTTTACTGAGGAGTGGCTTCCGTCTGGCCACCCTACCATAAAGGTCTGATTGGTGGAGTGCTGCAGAGATGGTTGTCCTTCTGGAAGGTTCTCCCATCTCCAAAGAGGAACTCTAGAGCTCTGTCAGAGTGACCATCAGGTTCTTGATCACCTCCCTGACCAAGGCCCTTCTCCCCCGATTGCTCAGTTTGGCCGGGCGGCCAGCTCTTGGAAGAGTCTTGGTGCTTACATACTTCTTCCATTTAAGAATGATGGAGGCCACTGTGTTCTTGGGGACTGTCAATACTGCAGACATTTTTTGTTACCTGTCCCCAGATCTGTCCCTCGACACAATCTTGTCTCGGAGCTCTACGGACAATTCCTTCGACCTCATGGCTTGGTTTTGCTCTGACATGCACGGTCAACTGTGGGACCTTATATAGACAGGTGTGTGCCTTTCCAAATTATGTCCAATCAATTCAATTTACCACAGGTGGACTCCAATCAAGTTGTAGAAACATCTCAAGGATGATCAATGGAAAGAGGATGCACCTGAGCTCAATTTCGAGTCTCATAGCAAAGGGTCTGAATACTTATGTAAATAAGTCATTATGGGGTATTGTGTGTAGATTGCTGAGGATAATAAAAAAATAAGGTTGTAATGTAACAAAATATGGAAAAGGTCAAGGGGTCTGAATACTTTCCGAAGGCACTGTATACTGTTAGCACTGAGGCTGTGTGCCCTGGTAGGAAGTCCACTGTGTGCAGCTCACCTTGCACTAACATACAGTGGGGGAAAAAAGTATTTAGTCAGCCACCAATTGTGCAAGTTCTCCCACTTAAAAAGATGAGAGGTACACATCAACTATGACAGACAAAATGAGAAGAAAAAAAATCCAGAAAATCACATTGTAGGATTTTTTATGAATTTATTTGCAAATTATGGTGGAAAATAAGTATTCGGTCAATAACAAAAGTTTCTCAATACTTTGTTATATACCCTTTGTTGGCAATGACACAGGTCAAACGTTTTCTGTAAGTCTTCACAAGGTTTTCACACACTGTTGCTGGTATTTTGGCCCATTCCTCCATGCAGATCTCCTCTAGAGCAGTGATGTTTTGGGGCTGTCGCTGGGCAACACAGACTTTCAACTCCCTCCAAAGATTTTCTATGGGGTTGAGATCTGGAGACTGGCTAGGCCACTCCAGGACCTTGAAATGCTTCTTATGAAGCCACTCCTTCGTTGCCCGGGCGGTGTGTTTGGGATCATTGTCATGCTGAAAGACCCAGCCACGTTTCATCTTCAATGCCCTTGCTGATGGAAGGAGGTTTTCACTGAAAATCTCACGATACATGGCCCCATTCATTCTTTCCTTTACACGGATCAGTCGTCCTGGTCCCTTTTCAGAAAAACAGCCCCAAAGCATGATGTTTCCACCCCCATGCTTCACAGTAGGTATGGTGTTCTTTGGATGCAACTCAGCATTCTTTGTCCTCCAAACACGACCAGTTGAGTTTTTACCAAAAAGTTATATTTTGGTTTCATCTGACCATATGACATTCTCCCAATCCTCTTCTGGATCATCCAAATGCACTCTAGCAAACTTCAGACGGGCCTGGACATGTACTGGCTTAAGCAGGGGGACACGTCTGGCACTGCAGGATTTGAGTCCCTGGCGGCGTAGTGTGTTACTGATGGTAGGCTTTGTTACTTTGGTCCCAGCTCTCTGCGGGTCATTCACTAGGTCCCCCCGTGTGGTTCTGGGATTTTTGCTCACCGTTCTTGTGATCATTTTGACCCCACGGGGTGAGATCTTGCGTGGAGCCCCAGATCGAGGGAGATTATCAGTGGTCTTGTATGTCTTCCATTTCCTAATAATTGCTCCCACAGTTGATTTCTTCAAACCAAGCTGCTTACCTATTGCAGATTCAGTCTTCCCAGCCTGGTGCAGGTCTACAATTCTGTTTCTGGTGTCCTTTGACAGCTCTTTGGTCTTGGCCATAGTGGAGTTTGGAGTGTGACTGTTTGAGGTTGTGGACAGGTGTCTTTTATACTGATAACAAGTTCAAACAGGTGCCATTAATACAGGTAACGAGTGGAGGACAGAGGAGCCTCTTAAAGAAGAAGTTACAGGTCTGTGAGAGCCAGATATCTTGCTTGTTTGTAGGTGACCAAATACTAATTTTCCACCATAATTTGCAAATAAATTCATAAAAAATCCTACAATGTGATTTTCTGGAAAAAAATTTCTCTATTTGTCTGTCATAGTTGACGTGTACCTATGATGAAAATTACAGGCCTCTCTCATATTTTTAAGTGGGAGAACTTGCACAATTGGTGGCTGACTAAATACTTTTTTCCCCCACTGTAAATAACATGAGCATATCTACTACTGCTAAGCTTCCCAGTAAAGCAATGAAAACAAGTAAGCATCCCAGAAGAAAAGTGCTCAAAATAGTCCACGTTAACATATGTAGCTTAAGAAACAGGGTTCATGAAATCAATAATTTGCTAGTAACAGATGACATTCATATTCTGATCTCTGAAACTCACTTAGATAATACCTTTGATGATATAGTGGTAGCAATACAAGGTTATGACATTTACAGAAATGACAGAAATGCCAATGGTGGAGGTGTTGCTGTTTATATTCAGAACCACATTCCTGTAAAGCTTAGAGAGGATTTCATGTTAAATACTGTTGAAGTAATATGGCTACAGGTTCATCTGCCTCACCTAAAGCCCATTCTTGTGGGAAGCTGCTATAAACCACCAAGTGCTAACAGTCAGTATATGGATAATACGCGTGAAATACTTGATAATGTATGTGATATGAACAGAGAGGTATATTTTCAAGGTAATTCAGATATTGACTGGCTTTCATCAAGCTGCCCACTCAAGAAAAAGCTTCAAACTGTAACCAGTGCCTGCAACCTGGTTCAGGTTATCAGTCAACCTACCAGGGTAGTTACAAACAGCAGAGGAATGAAATCATCAACATGTATTGATCACATCTTTACTAATGCTGCAGAAATCTGCATGAAAGCAGAATCCAGATACATCAGATGTAGTGATCCCAATATAGTAGCCATTTCTAGGAAAACCAAAGTTCCAAAGGATGGGCCTAATATTGTGTATACAAGGTTAAAACGGTTAAATCCCTGTGGATTGACAAGGAATTTAAAAATTGTATGGTTGAGAGGGATGAGGCAAAAGGAATGGCAAATAAGTCTGCCTGCACATCCGATTGACAAACGTATTGCAAGTTGAGAAATCATGTGACTAAACTGAATAAAAAGAAGAAGAAACTACACTATGAAACAAAGATAAATGACAAAGAATGATAGTAAAAAGCTTTGGAGCACCTTAAATGAAATTTTGGGAAAGAAAAGCTAACTCAGCTCCATCATTCATTGAATCAGATGGCTCATTCATCACAAAACCGACTGATATTGTCAACTACTTTAAAGATTTTTTCATTGGCAGGATTAGCAAACTTAGGCATGACATGCCAGCAACAAACTCTGACACTACACATCCAAGTATATCTGACCAAATTATGAAAGACAAGCACTGTCATTTTGTATTCCGTCAAGTGAGTGTGGAAGAGGTGAAAAGATTATTGTTGTCTATCAACAATGACAAGCCACCGGGGTCTGACAACTTGGATGGAATATTACTGAGGATAATAGTGGACGGTATTGCCACTCCTATTTGCCATATTTAAGCCTACTAGAATGTGTGTGCCCCCAGGCCTGGAGGGAAGCAAAAGTAATTCCGCTACCTAAGAATAGTAAAGACCCCTTTACTGGCTCAAATAGCCGACCAATCAGCCTGTTACCAACCCTCAATAAACATTTGGAAGAAATGGTGTTTGACCAGATACAATGCTATTTTATATTAAACATATTAAAAACAGACTTTAAGCACGCTTATAGGGAAAGACATTCAACAAGCACAGTACTTACACAAATTACTGATGATTGGCTGAGAAATTGATGATAAAAAGATTGTGGGTGCTGTTTTGTTAGACTTCAGTGCGGCTTTTGACATTATTGATCATAGGCTGCTGATGGAAAAACGTATGTGTTATGGCTTTACACCCCCTGCTATATTGTGGATAAAGAGTTACCTGTCTAACAGAACATAGAGGATGTTCTTTAATGGAAGCCTCTCCAACATAATCCAGGTAGATACAGAATTCCCCAGGGCAGCTGTCTAGGCCACTTACTTTTTAAAATCTTTACTAAGTAAACCCAGTGTGTCTATGTATGCGGATGACTCAACAATAAATATGCCAGCTACCACAGCGACTGAAACGACTGCAACACTTAACAAAGAGCTGCAGTTAGTTTCAGAGTGGGTGGCAAGGAATAAGTTAGTCCTAAATATTTCAAAAACTAAAAGCATTGTATTTGGGACAAATCATTCACTAAACCCTAAACCTCAACTAAATCTTGTAATACATAATGTGGAAATTGAGCAAGTTGAGGTGACTAAACTGCTTGGAGTAACCCTGGATTGTAAACTGTCATGGTCAAAACATATTGATACAACAGTAGCTAAGATGGGGATAAGTCTGTCCATAATAAAGCACTGCTCTACCTTCTTAACAGCACTATCAACAAGGCAGGTCCTACAGGCCCTAGTTTTGTCACACCATGACTACCAAAAAAGGGACTTAGGAAAATTGCAATTGGCACAGAACAGGGCAGCACGGCTGGCCCTTGGATGTACACAGAGAGCTAACATTAATATGTCAATCTCTCCTGGCTCAAAGTGGAGGAGAGATTGACTTCATCACGACTTGTATTTGTGAGAAGTATTGACATGTTGAATGCACCGAGCTGACTGTTTGAACTACTGGCTCACAGCTCGGACACCCATGCATAACCCACAAGACATGCCACAAGAGGTCTCTTCAGAGTCCCCAAGTCCAGAACAGACTATGGGAGGCGCACAGTACTAAATAGAGCCATGACTACATGGAACTCTATTCCACATCAAGTAACTGATGCAAGCAGTAAAATTAGATTTAAAAAAACAGATCAAAATACACCTAATGTTTACTCTTAGGGCCTGTTTCCTCTTAGGGCCTGTTTACTCTTAGGGCCTGTTTCCTCTTAGGGCCTGTTTCCTCTTAGGGCCTGTTTCCTCTTAGGGCCTGTTTACTCTTAGGGCCTGTTTCCTCTTAGGGCATGTTTACTCTTAGGGCCTGTTTACTCTTAGGGCCTGTTTACTCTTAGGGCCTGTTTCCTCTTAGGGCCTGTTTACTCTTAGGGCCTGTTTACTCTTAGGGCCTGTTTCCTCTTAGGGCCTGTTTCCTCTTAGGGCCTGTTTACTCTTAGGGCCTGTTTCCTCTTAAGGCCTGTTTACTCTTAGGGCCTGTTTACTCTTAGGGCCTGTTTCCTCTTAGGGCCTGTTTCCTCTTAGGGCCTGTTTCCTCTTAGGGCCTGTTTACTCTTAGGGCCTGTTTACTCTTAGGGCCTGTTTACTCTTAGGGCCTGTTTCCTCTTAGGGCCTGTTTACTCTTAGGGCCTGTTTCCTCTTAGGGCCTGTTTACTCTTAGGGCCTGTTTACTCTTAGGGCCTGTTTCCTCTTAGGGCCTGTTTCCTCTTAGTGCCTGTTTCCTCTTATGGCCTGTTTCCTCTTAGGGCCTGTTTCCTCTTAGGGCCTGTTTACTCTTAGGGCCTGTTTCCTGAACACAGATTAAGCCTAGTTCTAGACTAAAAAGCTTGCTCAATGAAGACTTTCTATTGTGTCCGGGAAACCAGCCCTTTGACCCCACATTTTTTTATAGTAATAGATGTGTTCCCCCAGTGTCACACCTTGAATGTCGGGGTACTTGGCCATGTACAGCATTGCCCAGCGAAGGCTTTTGGACGTCGTCTCTGTCCCGGCCCCAAACAGATCCACCACACAGTACAGCAGGTTCTCCTCAGTGAAGCCAGCCGCCCCATCTTGATTCTGCACGGGGAAGTGGTCATCAGGTGGTCAAGTTGAGGTCAAATCATCATGCACTGTTAGGCTGTGGGAGGTTTGCTGACAATTTACATATTCAGTCATATTAAACCACAAATGTAATATTTTCTTGATGAAATTAGCCCAAAATATGACGAACAAACCATCTTAATTCTAAAGACATGAGAGTAGATCACAAGCAATAACTATTAAAAGTTAAAAGTCGTGCAGCCCGTCTGGTGTTCAACCTTCCCAAGTTCTCTCATGTCACCCCGCTCCTCCGCACACTCCACTGGCTTCCAGTTGAGGCTCGCATTTACTACAAGACCATGGTGCTTGAATACGGAGCTGTGAGGGGAACGGCACCTCCTTACCTTCAGGCTCTGATCCTACACCCAAACGAGGGCACTACGTTCATCCACCTCTGGCCAGCTAGCCCCCCTACCTCTACGGAAGCACATTTCAGTCAGCCCAGTCAAAGCTATTCGCTGCTCTGGCACCCCAATGGTGGAACAAGCTCCCCCACGACGCCAGGACAGCGGCGTCACTGACCACCTTCCGGAGACACTTGAAACCCTACCTCTTTAAGGAATACCTGGAATAGTATAAAAGTAATCCTTCTACCCACCCCTCCCCCACCCCCCATTAAAAAAAAAGTGGTTGTCCCACTGGCTATTATAAGTTGAATGCACCAATTTGTAAGTCACTCTGGATAAGAGCGTCTGCTAAATGACGTAAATGTAAAAGAGCTGAAAAAGTCCAGCAGTGGTATTACCTTCTCTATCTCTTCGAGGTAACAGTCTATGTAGTCTCTGGGATTGGACGGGTTTCTGTCCTCTTTGTGTTCCTCTACTTCCTCTCTGATAAACTGCTTTATGGTACCAAGGTTGATGAAGGCTGATTGGTGCCTCCCAGGTAAATAGTGCAGCAGTGTCGGAAACTGATTATACATCTGTCGAAAGAACAGGAAATTAGCCTGAGAAGGTAGATTTCCTGAGGAGAATCTGTGTCCTTGCAGATACTGTGCACTATAACTCACTTTGCCAAAGAGACACACTGATCACCAAACAGAGAATAGCAGACAGATCATACCGATCCCCAGAAGGTAGCAGGCAGCTGAAAAACATCCTCTGAGCATTTCAGCATGTGGTGGAAGTGGTGATCATTGTATTTGAACCTATGACCAAACACCAGGGTGCACACGATGTTGGCCACTGCATTGTTGGTGACGACTTCAGGGTTAAAGGGCAGGCCTGAAACAGATCAGAGGTTGGGTCAAAGATGGTGGATAAATGAAGATGTCTTACTCAGACAGTTTAGACACAGATAGAACAATGAGCCAGATATTTCACCAGATGTATAAGTGTGAAGCATCTGGTTGGCGTTTCCAATCACTACCAAATATGGTGATGAGAGGAAGCCCAGTGGCCGGCAGTGGGAGAACATCGACCAAGATGGATTTTGGCCAACATTATGCTAATTTTCTCATTGATTAAACATTTGATCTCAATACAGTTTTCTGTTCCCAAAACTAAAATCTGTTATGAACCGATTGGACTCAGTCTTATACAGTTGAAGTCGGAAGTTTACATACACTTAGGTTGGAGTCATTAAAACTCATTTTTCAACCACTCCACACATTTCTTGTTAACAAACTATAGTTTTGGCAAGTCGGTTAGGACATCTACTTTGTGCATGACTCAAGTAACTTCACTTATAGTTCACTGTATTACAATTCCAGTGGGTCAGAAGTTTACATACACTAAGTTGACTGTGCCTTTAAACAGCTTGGAAAATTCCAGAAAATGATGTCACGGCTTTAGAAGCTTCTGATAGGCTAATTGACATAATTTGAGTCAATTGGAGGTGTAGCTGTGGATGTATTTCAAGGCCTACCTTCAAACTCAGTGCCTCTTTGCTTGACATCATGGGAAAAACAAAAGAAATCAGCCAAGACCTCAGAAAAAAAATTGTAGACCTCCACAAGTCTGGGTCATTCTTGGGAGCAATTTCCAAATGCCTGAAGGTACCACGTTCATCTGTACAAACAATAGTACGCAAGTATAAACACCATGGGACCACACAGCCGTCATACCGCTCAAGAAGGAGACACGTTCTGTCTCCTAGAGATGAACGTACTTTGGTGCGAAAAGTGCAAATCAATCCCAGAACAACAGCAAAGAACCTTGTTAAGATGCTGGAGGAAACAGTTACGAAAGTATCTATATCCACAGTAAAACTAGTCATATATCGACATAACCTGAAAGGCCGCTCAGCAAGGAAGAAGCCACTGCTCCAAAACTGCCATAAAAAAGCCAGACTACAGTTTGCAACTGCACATGGGGACAAAGATCTTACTTTTTGGAGAAATGTCCTCTGGTCTGATGAAACAAAAATAGAACTGTTTGGCCATAATGACCATCGTTATGTTTGGAGGAAAAAGGGGTACTTGCAAGCCGAAGAACCCCATCCCAACCATGAAGCACGGGGGTGGCAGCATCATGCTGTGGGGGTGCTTTGCTGCAGGAGGGACTGGTGCACTTCACCAAATAGATGGAATCATGAGGAAATAAATGTATGTGGATATTTTGAAGCAACATCTCAAGACATCAGTCAGGAAGTTAAAGCTTGGTCGCAAATGGGTCTTCCAAATGGACAATGACCCCATGCATACTTCCAAAGTTGTGGCAAAATGGCTTAAGGACAACAAAGTCAAGGTATTGGAGTGGCCATCACAAAGCCCAGACCTCAATCCTATAGAAAATTTGATGGCAGAACTGAAAAAGCATTTTCGAGCAAGGAGGCCTACAAACCTGACTCAGTTACACCAGCTCTGTCAGGAGGAATGGGCCAAAATTCACCCAACTTATTGTGGGAAGCTTGTGGAAGGCTACCCGAAACGTTTGACCCAAGTTAAACAATTTAAAAGGCAATGCTACCAAATACTAATTGAGTGTATGTAAACTTCTGACCCACTGGGAATGTGATGAAAGAAATAAAAGCTGAAATAAATCATTCTCTCTATTATTATTCTGACATTTCACATTCTTAAAATAAAGTGGTGATCCTAACTGACCTAAGATAGGGAATTTGTACTAGGATTAAGTATCAGGAATTGTGAAAAACTGAGTTTAAATGTATTTGGCTAAGGTGTATGTAATCTTTCGACTTCAACTGTACATTTTACCCTTTGCCAAGGTTTTTAAAAAAAAGCGTTGTTTAGAAGGAGTACAAGGGCGAATTGAGTCATTGCACACTCGCACTTCACAGAGTAGGCATTCCCTAACGGAAATACTGTTTGCAAATAACTACATCTCAAGATGCACGTTCATAGCATTCGTTTACAGGTAGAGAGAGGATATCTTGATCAGAGACGGTTGGAAATCAAAGCTAAGAAACATCTGGACTTCACAATAGCAAAGTTTTGGGTTTGAACCCCAGATAGCATTAAACCATACAACAACTAGCCATTCTGGATAAGAGTGCCAGTTAAACAACTGAGACTGTGGTTCATTCACTGATTTGGGCACCATAAAAGTATAGCAAAAACGCTGACCTCACCTCTCTCTGCCAGGTAGGATTCACACAGGAAGTGGCTCTCCTGGAGTATGGCGGTCTCCAGGGTCTTCTTCCCCACTCCAAAGTACTTGAGCGTGGACAGGGCAAAGCGCCTCTGCTGCCGCCACATGTGACCGTTAGAGGAGATCAGGCCTAGATAAACCATAATCTGGTCAAGACATCGCAACAATGACAGAATTACTAAGACCCAATATGACTAAATGAGACCCAATATGACTGTGTGGTTCTGCCTGATGGGTCATTCTTGAATTGTGGTGGTAAATGCTGGCCGTTGACTTCGGCACCATGTTGTAAAAACACAAAATTACACAAATAATACATTTTACTGCAGTTATATTTAATTGTTATTTAATACGAAAGCCAATGTAAATCCTTTATTCTGAAAAACATTTTTATGCATTGTAGAAAATACTGAGGGCTAGCTAGTGTAATGAAATGTTTTTGGGATTTAGAGATACACTCTATCTATATATTATTTTGAATGCTAGACAGTGAAAATATGTATTTAAGATATTGTACAGATCAATAAAAACAAAGGTGGCTATTAAAATACCTTCTTTTTTTTCTACTATAATGTGTTTCCCTCAGTTTTAGGTCATCGTTGTTACCACCTTGAAAATCACTGATTACAAAGATATACAAGGACCTTGAGCATTCTCTCCAGTGGCAAACTGTTATTGGGGGAGGGGTCTATATCAGGGGAGGGTGCTGAGGGAGGACTGCTCATAATAATGGCTGGAATGGAGTCAATGGAATGGCATCAACCACATGGAAACCACATGTTTGATGTGTTTGAGACCATTCCATTGACTCCATTCCAGCCATTATTGTGAGCCGTCCTCCCCTCAGCAGCCTCCAATGGTCTATATTAAAGACAATTCTTAGCTAATCACACCCTTTTAGTATGTATACATTTGAGGATTCCATTGATAATTTGGTGTGTCTAAATCCAAAGTGTCACTTGGTGTTGGTCAATTCAAATAAAGGGAAATAACGTTGTGAGCAAAATGATTAATCATACCATTTTAGAGTTATGTTTTTTAAATGATTGATGACCTTAGATTTTATTTTGTGACCTCCATTTTAGAATGTGGACCAAAAATGTCTCATTGGTGTTACTACTCCTACTGGTGGCACACTGTTATCATAATAGTCTAAATTATTTCAATTCATTAAGCTACCATATTAGCCTACCCAAGCCTCTGCTCAGCCTGTCGTTCAGGGGGTAAGATGGCCGATCGGTGAAGGTGTCGGCCTGCTCCACAAAGGCTTCCTTAAAGCCTCGGAGACCTGAGAGGAGCACACAGCGGTTCCCTCCACCCAAGTCTAGTGTAGTCACATCCCCGTAGGTCTCTACGAACTATAGAAAACACACTACAGTGGGCATGTCACACTAAGCACACTAATTACATTATAATTTATCTACAATACAAACTAATGATTACAGAATGATTACATCCAATTGGTCACTGAGTATAGCATTTTTTGTTGTTGTGGAAAAGGTGCTATCTAGGACCTAAAATAGTTATTCGGGTGTCCCCATAGGATAACTCTTTAAAGAACCCTTTTTTGGTTCCAGGTAGAACCTTTTTGGGTTCCATGTAGAACCCTTTCCACAGAGGGTTCTACTTGGAAAGCAAAATAATTCTAGCTGGAACCAAAAAGGGTTCTACCTGGAACCAAAAAGGGTGTTCCTATGGTGGACAGCCGAAGAACCCTTTTGTAACCTTTTTATCTAAGAGTGTATAATTTGAGCAGATACACACGACCTTATCTCTTACGTGTCCTTACCTTTTTAAAGGAGCCTATGCGGTCCTTGATGCTGATATTCAGCATATTCCCAACAAAAGGCAGGGGGAAGGGGCCTGGTGGGTAGTTCTTAGAAGGCAGATCACGGATGTACTTGGTCACCAACAGAACCAAGAGGAACAGGAGGACCCCCTTGGTATTGATCCAGTGTCCCACCAGACAGGCTAATGCCTCCAACATGGTGGAAACCCTCACGGAACTCTCTGGTAACACATACAGTAGCAGGAGAAACCCTGAGTATCAGTCTTTACTCTTAAAGCATGTAGTAGAAGATCACATGCGGTCAGCAGACAAAACCGTAAACTTTTATTTTGAATAAACAAGTCATATTCTGTGAGAACATAAATCCGTGGAGGACTGCAGTGATATAGAGCAAAGTTCAACAGCTTCTGGCTTTCACAAATGTAAACAAATTCCTTGCCTTTCCAGGCCAAACCGATGGTGAAAATGTTTCCTAAAATGGTACTTACATTTGTAGTTTGGTGTGACCCAGATGTATCAGCCTGTTCAGACTGACTCTTACTGGGGCAGGAATTTAGACTGGGATACTCGCACATTTGTTACTCAATATCTGCACAATGAAGGACTCTGTGATAGGCTAGTTTTGTAAATGTGATTATGTAAAATGCTTGTACAATGAGGTTACACAAGGTAATATTCGACTGTCATGTGCCAATACTGACTACTACATTCTAGTTCATAATATCGTGTAGACAACGTACAGAGAGAAAGAAAAAGTATTCTACTCATTTTCACTTTATTATATAATTGATGAGTTCCAATACATTAAAAATGTCACAAACTATAAGCAAGTGAGAGTTACATAACAATACATAACAGCACTATTCACGCAGTAAAGCTCAAATACAGACTCCCAGACAGGTCCACTCTGTCCTGGTTGAACACATCCACCATGCCCAGCGAGGCCAGGGGTGCGTTCAGCTGGTAGTCCTCCTGCAGTTTAAACTTGGGGATCGAAATGTGGACATTGGTCCTTGTGCCCATGTTTTGCTTTTACAACTTGGAGAAAAAGCACAAAACACACAGACAACAGCTGCCTCTGTTCGCACTCTCAGAGGCATCCGCATGGTCCTAAAGCACACGATGACGCTTTTTGTATCACAATGCAATAATAAAACAAAAATGAAATGTACGAATGTGGGGGGGTCATGCCCCCCCTGTCCCCAGTGAAAGTTGCACCTCTGGATTAATGGCAAGGAGAAGTAATCAACATTTAAAAATGAATCGATTTGGTAGATTTGGACCCCCTGCAATACCTCCACGGACCCCCGGGTTGAATATCCCTTACTAGGGGCACTTGAAGTTTCAGAGCAGCATGGAGTGAGCAGGTTCCCGTCCACCCGTGATCATTTGTAAATGTACAATTGATACTATTTTAAGGATCTCAATTGATATTGTATTCCCTTTTTGCTTTTTCTACACATATTTTTCCTTACCTAATCTTTTCTTACTTTTTATTATTGTAAAAATAATTATTTAATTGTATCTTGTTCTTTTCAATCTGTTGTATTTTAGTAACTGCAATATATTAAAATGTCAAATAAAGTTAGTATTGGTATCTAAACAGATCTGAAACACTTTAGGTAGGCTACTACAATACAATGGATACTAGGGCAGATACAGAAGAGGACAGACATGTTTAAAAGCACTAAAGAGAGATTTAAATATGGGGACATAGACGAAGTGGTTTAGGGGTATAGTGTAGTGTGCTCATCCCTGACCATCCCTGTTGAAAACAAGGATAGAGGTCTGAGATAGAAGTCTGAGCATAAACAAAGATGAGAGTGATTTCTGGGGACAGCCTCACACTTGTGTGTAGTTTGACAAGCTCTGGCCACCTGCCGTTCCTCCAGAGAATGATCTTTCCACACTTTGGGACTGTGTGAAGCTTTAAAAAATATATCTGTTTAAGAAACTTCAACTGGGGTTCCACTGCCCTCTGCTGGGGAAAGAGAAACAAGAGGAAAGGATTACATTACCAGACACCTATTAATGCTTCTCAGAGTAGGATCAGGTGCCCTCTGTCCATCTTAATCTTATTCATTATGATGTAAAAGGAAATCTGATCTTACTATTCTCCATGGTTGGTCCTCTTGCCTATTCTTTGAAAGTGGAAGGAGCCACAGTTATACACCTGAGCCTGCTTAATGCACAACACAATCCATCAATCAGATTGATACACAAGTGTGTAGGTGTGGGTTATAGGGTGTCTAATTGTTCAAAATGTTTTCAATATGGGTGACTCTTAAAAGAGCCTGTTTTGTTTTTGTACAGACATCACCCTTACCTGAACAGCACCCTCACCTGAGAAGTAGAAATCAAAGGGAGAGAAACTGGGAATTGAATAACTGCAGTTGACATAGCTAAGTAAATGGAAGAATACTCTTATTGCAATGTGGATGGCTCTTAAAATAGCATTTGGTTGTGTATAGTGTAGTCTATTGTGTTTCCAGGGAACAGCACCCTCTAGGTGGTGAAGATCTCCCGCACATGGATTGCCACCCGTGCTGCATTGTTGGCCCCCATCCTTGTAACATCCTGCACAGCTGATTCAAATGATCAACTCATCATCAAGCTTCAAGTGGTATTTATGTATTCATTTATGATATGATCCTGCTGTTGTCACATGCTACACATGCATGTGTGTGCACATGCATCTATCTATCCAATATTATCATGATTTGTTATAAGAGATATTATACTTCAGTAATCCACAATGATCTGGTGATGTAAAAGTCCAATAGTGACATTATCTTCCATATTCCTACAGATACCTTGCAACTGGAGATTCCTTCAAAATGATTGCCTACAGTTACCGTGTAGGGCACTGCAAGGTTGGGTGACCAGGGCCATCTGAGACTGCCTCCTAGGGGAATGTAGGCGTGTGAAGGCTACCTGTATCCTGCATAACTTCATGAGGATGGACACGAGAACCAGGAGGGGATCTGCAGCTCGCCGCCGTGTGCACACACGTGCATGTGTAGCATGTGACAACAGCAGGATCATATATTAAATGAATACATACAGTGAGGGGAAAAAGTATTTGATCCCCTGCTGATTTTGTACGTTTGCCCACTGACAAAGAAATTATCAGTCTATAATTTTAATGGTAGGTTTATTTGAACAGTGAGAGACAGAATAACAACAAAATAATCCAGAAAAACACGTCAAAAATATTATAAATTGATTAGCATTTTAATGAGGGAAATAAGTATTTGACCCCCTCTCAATCAGAAAGATCCTCCTGCTCAAGAAAGCACATATACAGGGCTGTCTGAAGTGTTGGGGTCAGATGAGACCAAAATGGAGCTCTTTGGCATCAACTCAACTCGCCGTGTTTGGAGGAGGAGGAATGCTACCTATGACCCCAAGAACACCATCCCCACCGTCAAACATGGAGGTGGAAACATTATGCTTTGGGGGTGTTTTTCTGCTAAGGGGACAGGACAACTTCACCGCATCACAGGGACGATGGACGGGGCCATGTCCTGTCAAATCTTGGGTGAGAACCTCCTTCCCTCAGCCAGGGCATTGAAAATGGATTGTGGATGGGTATTCCAGCATGACAATGACCCAAAACACACGGCCAAGGCAACAAAGGAGTGGCTCAAGAAGAAGCACATTAAGGTCCTGGAGTGGCCTAGCCAGTCTCCAGACCTTAATCCCATAGAAAATCTGTGGAGGGAGCTGAAGGTTCGAGTTGCCAAACGTCAGACTCGAAACCTTAATGACTTGGAGAAGATCTGCAAAGAGGAGTGGAACAAAATCCCTCCTGAGATGTGTGCAAACCTGGTGGCCAACTACAAGAAATGTCTGACCTCTGTGATTGCCAACAAGGGTTTTGCCACCAAGTACTAAGTCATGTTTTGCAGAGGGGTCAAATACTTATTTCCCTCATTAAAATGCAAATCAATTTATAACATTTTTGACATGCATTTTTCTGGATTTTTTTGTTGTTATTCTGTCTCTCACTGTTCAAATAAACCTACCATTAAAATTATAGACTGATCATGTCTTTGTCAGTGGGCAAACGTACAAAATCAGCAGGGGATCAAATACTTTTTTCCCTCACTGTACATACCACTTGAAGCTCGATGATGAGTTGATCATTTGATTCAGCTGTGTACAGTCGTGGTCAGAAGTTTTGAGAATGACACAAATACTAATTTTCACAAAGTCTGCTGCCTCAGTTTTGATGATGGCAATTTGCATATACTCCAGAATGTCATAAAGAGTGATCAGATGAATTGCAATTAATTGCAAAGTCCCTCTTTGCCATGAAAATGAACTTAATCCCCAAAAAACATTTCCACTGCATTTCAGCCCTGCCACAAAAGGACCAGCTGCCATCATGTCAGTGATTCTCTCGTTAACACAGGTGAGAGTGTTGACGAGGACAAGGCTGAAGATCACTCTGTCATGCTGATTGAGTTAGAATAACAGACTGGAAGCTTTAAAAGGAGGGAAATCATTGTTCTTCCTCTGTTAACCATGGTTACCTGCAAGAAAACATGTGCCGTCATTATTGCTTTGCACAAGAAGTGCTTCACAGGCAAGGATATTGCTGCTAGTAAGATTGCACCTAAATCAACCATTTATCGGATCATCAAGAACTTCAAGGAGAGAGGTTCAATTGTTGTGAAGAAGGCATCAGGGTGCCCAAGAATGTCCAGAAAGCGCCAGGACAGTCTCCTAAAGTTGATTCAGCTGCGGGATCGGGGCACCACCAGTGCAGAGCTTGCTCAGGAATGGCAGCAGGCAGGTGTGAGTGCAACTGCACGCACAATGAGGCGAATACCTTTGGAGGATGGCCTGGTGTCAAGAAGAGCAGCAAAGAAGCCACTTCTCTCCAGGAAAAACATCAGGGACAGACTGATATTCTGCAAAAGGTACAGGGATTGGACTGCTGCGGACTGGGGTAAAGTCATTTTCTCTGATGAATCCCCTTTCCGATTGTTTGGGGCATCCGGAAAACACCTTGTCCGGAGAAGACAAGGTGAGCGCTACCATCAGTCCTGTGTCATGCCAACAGTAAAGCATCCTGAGACCATTCATGTGTGGGGTTGCTTCTCAGCCAAGGGAGTGGACTCACTCACAATTTTGCCTAAGAACACAGCCATGAATAAAGAATGGTACCAACACATCCTCCGAGAGCAACT